AAAAAAAAAAAAAAAAATTCCTTCTGCCTTCAGGCTGGGGAGATGGCTCAGTGGAATAAGCACTTGTCTGGCAAGCTCAGGAACCTGAGTTCAATCCCCAGTTCCGGAAAAAAAAAAAAAAAAGGGCTAGGGAGATAGCTCAGCAGTCTTAAGTGTCTGTCTGGCAAGCACAAAATCCTGAGTTTGATCCCCGGTACCAAAAAAAAGAAAGAAATCACTGCAATTCAGCAGTTAACACCAAGAAATAAATTTGGAGAGGAATGTAATATACTACGTTTAAAAAAATAAAATAAAATTACTACATTAAGCACTTCTGGATTTTCCTTTTTCACTGCCAGCAGCCTTGAAATAGTTATTTAAATGTCAGTCTCCAAATTCTGCCTGCTCAAGCTGTTGTGGCTTCTCAGGAGCCACACAGTAGAATTTCTTTTTCTTTCTCTTTTTTTTCTTTGAGACAAGGTTTTACTGTGCAGTTCAGGCTGACCTTGAACTCACTATGTAGCCCAGGCTGGCCTTGAACTTGAAATGGGATTACAGGCATGTGTCATCATGCCTGGTTTGGGTTTAATTTCTGAGCAATTACCCCATTAAGAAATAACTGGGTGAAGGGTAATGTAGGTGTGGTGGCACAGACCTGTAATTTCAACACTTTGAGAGGGTAAGGCAGGAGGATCACAAGCTCAAAACCAGCCTGAGCAGCTGAATAACTTAGCAAGACTGTCTCAAATAAAGGCTTGGAATGTAGCTCAGGGGAAAGGCCCTGGGATCAATCCTCAACATGCATAGTCAGACCCTCTCAAAACAAAACAGAGAACAGGGGCAGGTTAGCTCAGTTGTTTAAGTGTTTGCTGGGGTGAACCCAGTGAGGCGCAAGGGACCGCGGTTTGATCCCCAGCTCCCCATGCCTTAGGAGACCTGCCCTTAAGGCAGCCTGAGCTCTCCCCCAAAAAAAGGGGGTGGGACTTGTGCCGAGCTTTTTATTTGCCTCCTAGAAAGGAGGAAAGAGCTCTCAAAACCTGTGGGAGATATCTTTTGGGAAAAACTGTGAAGAAAATATATACAGCTATAATATATATATCTATCTCCCCTACAAAATGAGCATGAAATTAAAATGTCCATCCAGGGCTGGAGTAGGTAACAAGGAGGAAGTAGTCATTGGGAAGTGGACTGCATCTGCAGACGTGGATTTCAACCAGTTGGAGGCATTTTTAACTGCTCAAACCAAAAAGCAAGATGGGATCACATCTTACCAAGCTGCTGTTATTTTCAAATTCTGGAAAAGCCACAAGACAAAAGTTCGAGAGAGCCATGTAAACCAGAGCCGTTGGGAGAACAGACTTCGGGGCCTGAGCTGGAGAGGTGATGGCAAGCCTCAGTCAAGGTACTCGCCTCGAATTCACATCCCTGTTGCTGTAATAGAGCTGGAATTTGGGAAATGTGGACAGAAATCTGAATTTCTGTGTTTGGAATTTGATGAGGTAAAGGTCAACCAAATGCTGAAGAAGCTCTCAGAGAAGAAAGTATCAACATGCTGATGCAACCAGCCTAACTGAAGAGGATGTAGGAGGGAGTTGGAAATATAAGATAAAGGTGTTAATGCCCCTACCCACTTTTTACAGTCCTGTTCCCCCATGGTATTAAATCCTCAATATCAAATCTTAAAAAATAAATAAAATGTCCAAATCCTGACAGCTGTGAAAGCTGCTTTTGAAAGGATTTCTTAGGGCTAAGTGTATTGTAACTTGTAGAGTTCTAGATCATTACAAAAATACCATTTGTCCAGTGTAAAAAGTTTGATATTATAGCTGAGCATGGCAGCACATGCCTATAATCCCCATACTCAAGAAGCTGAAGCAGGAGGATAGGATTGCCACAAGTTCAAGACCAGCCTGGGCTCCAGTTTAAGTCTGGCTTACACTACATGGTGAGATGCTGTCACACACACAAAAAAGAAAACAAAAAACCCTCAAATTTGATATCATAGGTTTAGTTTTGCTGAACATGATAGTGAATTCCTATAGTCCTAGTTACCTGGGAGGCTGAGATAGAAGGATTGCTTAAGCCCAGGAGTTCAAGGCCACTTTGGGTAGCATAGTGACATCTATATATATGAAGGAGAAGGGTCTACAGGGTGTTCAGGGTCTCACTACTAGGTCGGACTCATAGTGATTCTCCTGTTTACAGCCTCCCAAGAGCTGGGATTACCACACCCAATCTCAATGGCCAGTCTAAACATGCCCCAGGGTGGGGCTGGCATGGCAGGCTCAGGGATTGAAGCCTGGCCCCTGAGCCTGCTTGCAGGTGCTTTAATCTCCTGAGCTATTTGGCCAGCCCTTCCAAAAAGTCTAAATTTAAAAAAAAACAGGTATAGTGATGAACCTCTGTAATCCCTGCACTCAGGAGGCTGAAGCAGGAGAATCACCATATATTTGAGGCTAGCCTGTGTTACATAGTGAGTTCAAATCTACTACGTTTAAGTACATAGTGAGACTTTGTCTCAAAAAGAAAAATTAAAATGGTATACGTTCTATTTTATTTTATTTTTTTGTTTCTAGCACCAGCAGTCTTTATTGATTGCTAAGGTCACATAAAGGAGAATTCAATAAATCCAACTCCCAGGCCAGCATCTGTGGACCTCTTCAATACTGTGCTCGAAAACTTGAGAAAGATTTTTTTTTTTTTTAATTTGTGGCTGGCTCAGGCTGCCTTAAGGGTGGGTCTGGTATGGCATGTGGAGCTGGGTATTGAACCACAGTCCCCTGTGCCTGACTGAGTTTGCCCAAGCAAGTGCTTTAAATAACTGAGCTAACCAGCAAGGCCCAAAATGGTATAGCATTTTATTTATTTATTTTTTATTTTTTTTAACATTTAGTGTGTGTGTGTGTGTGTGTGTGTGGCCAGCTCAGCCCACCAGGGCGCGGGGCTGGCTGGCATGTGGTGCTGAAGGATCGAACTG